CCACATAATAAAAAAAATGACAAATAAGAGATATAACCTATATAACAAAAAAAAATATGATTGATGATTCGTATAAATTTTTAAAAAAAATCTATAGAAATTTAAAATTTATGAGTAAATAGAATATAATTGAAAAATATAAATAATAATAATATAAATAAAAAAAATTAAATAAAAATTTGATCTTTTTATAATTTCACAATACAAAAGCATAAAAGAAAAGAAAAAAAGATGAGTGGAGAAATTTAAAAATTCAAAAAAATTTAAAAGTTTGAGTAAAATTTAATAAAGTTTGTAAAATTATTTTAATATTTTTTTAATTATATTAATTATTTAATAAAAAAATTATTTAAAAAAATTAATATATAAAAAAATTTAAAAACTTTGGAGACCATTACAAAGGGACGATTCGCCCCTGTATCTATATTTCTTTCTTACAAGCTATATGTTGAAGCTAGTTAGAGAGTTTGTGTGAGTGTACAGTCATCTAACCAAAAAAAAAAAAAGAAATTCAACAAAATCACGGGCATTGCGATTGTTTAATTCGATATATTTGGTAGTTATACAAAAACAATAAGAATCATTCTTGAATGCTCTCTAAACCAAATTTTTGGCAATTTATATCACAATTTGGCTACCAAATGTATTACAGTCAGGTGATTGAGGTTAGCATTTATATTACGGGTGTAGTTAATTATTTCAAAGGAAAAATTACCATCAAGTCAAATCTAAATTGTTATAAATCAAGCTTCTTCTTTTTTTATGTTTCATGTATCACCTAATTTCCAATTATTATTATGTTCTCATATTTGCACAATGCCATGGAACTTTAATGGGATTACACCGACTAAGTAAAATAAAAAGAAAAAGAAAAATTATGATTTGACATCGAAAATTGACTTGTTCTTCCTCATCATGATGCCAAATTGATTAAATTAATCTTTAATTCCTTATCATCAACCGCCTAAATGTCAGCCAAAATTTTACTCCATTATCTAAACAAGAAAATAAATTAAAAAAAAAATAAAGGAACAAAGCTAGTCTTATTGCATTACAACAAGACTTGAGAGAAACGTGTTGAAACTCTTTCAAAAGAACTCCAACCAGAAAAACATGCATACTACTTTCGACTTGGAACAACAAAAAGCACCAGGACTTACCCTGCAAAACTGATGTCTAACGCGCCCTTTGGTCGCGTTTGAGACCCCCTTTTTTTTGTTTGTTTTTTTTCTCTCTTTAAGCGAAGCTTTCTCAGGGCAGAGTGTACCCACAAAAGATCAGTACTTTCACCAAAAGGAATGTCATCACCAGTCACAGCAATTGCAACCATCTTTTATAAATTGTCTACTCACTCCATTCATTTCATTTCCACAGTGCAATTTTTCTCTTATAGTACATCCAGCTGCTATATATTTATATACAGAGATATATATATACACATTTTAAACCCCACAATACAATAAAAAGTTCTGTAAGCAAAAGAAAACAGTATCAAGAGCCTACACATCAAGCTACTCTTACTATCCAATATTTCTTAATCTGATCT